GATGGCACCTGACAACAACAACAACAGGACATCCTGATGTGCCACTAAGGTTGAGGACCACTGTTCTAGACTAGAACCCTGCCACTCAGGGTGGAATCTAAGGACCAACAGAATTAATATCACCTGGAAACTTGGTAGAAATGCAGAATCTTAGTCCCCACCCAAGCCTCCTATATAGAAATTGATATTTTAACAAGCTCGTCTGATTTGTATGAAATCAAAGTTTGTGAAGCACTGATCTAGAAATCCTTTGTAGCGCAAAGATTTTGTGAATTTGTCTCAAGCTGAAAAGCAATGAAATACAAGGGGGCTTCAGAAAGTCTGTGAAAAAAATGAAATTAGAGATAAATTTTTAAGCCCCTTTGTATGTTCTTGAGATGTGTTTGTAAGCACACAGATTATTAGGAGATTGCTGTAATTTGATTAGTTGCATGTGGAACTTTAGGTTTGTGTTTCAAGTGTTTTGCTAGGTGCTAGACAGTACACCAAGTTCTTAATGTATATTATTCCATTTCTATCCTTAAAACACACCTCTGAGAAAGATGTCAACGACATCTTTCTACACCCGAGGTAACCTAGACCCAGAGAGTTTGAGTAACTTACCTGTAGTCAGTAGAACTGGAATAGGAACCCAGGTCTCTGGCTTCATAACCTATGTTCATAACCAGCACTTGAACCATTCTTTTTTTTTTTTAAGTTTTTATTGTGAATTGAGTGAAAGTTTACAGGGCAGATCATCAGCTTTACATTCAACAAATCATACACCTTGTTTCATTACAATGATTATAATCCCCTCCATGTACCATCAGTTAACAGTATTTCTCTCTATTCACTTTAGCTCTTTTTAAAAAAAAAACAAAAAACAAAAAACTCAGACATATATAATAATTTACACCACCAAAGGGCACATTCTACAAGTCAGCCTCCTGGCCACCAACTCTCAGTCCCTCTCTTCCTATGAATCTAGAGTCCTCAGCTGCTCCGTCTCTCCATGTCCCTGTCTCTGCCTCCATATCTGGTGTCACTACTTCTCTGGATAGGGTCCCGCATTCCACTTGTGATCTTCTCCCTTGATGGTCCTAGGGTCCTCTGTTCCTGGTTGAACCATTCTTACATGATCCTGAGATTTCATTATGGTGTCTACATTCTGAAATATTGTGATAGTTGAAGTGTCTGGAATATCTATATTGACATTTTCCAGAAGTTTGGATGGGTGAGTCAGGTGGGTTTCCAGAAGTCCCTCTGCCGTAATCCAAGCCCCTTGTGCATGGAAGAATGAAGAAAGGTAGTTTTTGCTGAATTTTCAGCCCTGGTTTGTAGGTTAGAATGATAGAAATGTCTCTCACTTTTTCTTGCATATTAATTGCTTTTGTTCTCTGGGGTGGGTGGTAGGAAACTGTTCCCATTAGGTTCTCCCTCCAATTGACAACTAAGTGTATCTAGCCTGTGGTTTCTGAGCATGAAGGAGACAACTGAGGTGAGGAGTACAGGGTTTCCTCCTTTTCTCTTTTGTTGTTGTTGTCAGGTGCCATCGAGTTGGAACCGACTCATAGTGACCCCATGCACAGCACAACGAAACAATGTCCGATCCTAGGCCAATCTCACTACCGCTGCCACACTTGACACCGTCAGTGCTGTCACCTGGCCAGTCTATCTCGTTGGGGGTCTTCCTCTTTTTCTCTGACCCTCCATCTTACCAAGCATGACATCCTTCTCCAGCGACTGTTCCCTCCTGACAATATGTCCAAAGTATGAGAGACGAAGCTTAGCCATCTTGGCTTCAAAGGAGCACTCTGGCTGCACTTCTTCCAAAACAGATCTATTGGTTCTTTTGGCAGTCCATGGCACTATCAGTATTCTCCTCCAACACCACATCTCAAAGGCATCAATTCTTCTACGGTCTTCTTATTCACTGTCCAGCTTTTGCATCCATATGAGGTTATTGAAAATAACTTTTCCTCTTTACTGTCCCTTTAGATTCTTCTGAAAAGGCATACAGTGTAGGAGACTCCATTGTACTCCACAGAATCCTCAATTGGTATCCAGATCAGCACATTAGAACTCTGTATGGGATGACAGCCAGCAGAGGCTATGCACCTTTTATTTCTGACACTTGATGAATCATGGTTTAGTGGCTTCTGTTCTGATTTTTCTAACTTTGGCTGTGCTCCCTTGCACCTGCACCCTTGGTTTTAGGAAACAGACTCACTTAGCCCTTCATACTTTTTCCAGGGGACAGGCAAATGGTATGAATTACAAGACCTCCAGGTGACTGACATCCTTCCTCAGATGATCACGCTGTCAGAGGCATACATTCAGGTGAGCTGGCCACAGACCTGGTGGGGGGAGGGGGCTAGTACTGAATTGGCATTATCGGAGGTAGGCGGTGGGGCCAGAGAGAGGAATGATAGAAGAGAAGGCAGGAAGTAAGGTCAAGACTTGAATGATTGGGAAGAAATGAGGTACTTCCTAAGTAGAGGGATGAGTGCCTGTTGAGATATGCTGAGGAGTGGGGTGGGACCAGATTCTATGGTCCTGACAGTTAAGCAGAGATTTTCAGAAAGAAAAGCAGGGAATCATGGACGTTTTGAGTAAGCAAGGAGGAATGTGTTTAGGGCCAGGTTAGTTTTGCAGAAGTATGTGGTTTGGTTTCAAAGAGTCGGGAATTATCAGGGAGGCTAGCTAGCTGTCTCTGAAGTTTTTCCTAGTTTCCCAGGCAAAGCTAGCCTCTTCTTTGTGACTTTATAGCACTTTCTGCATGCCTTGGTTGGAGTTTTAATCCTATTATCTTGACTGTCTTGTCCATTGGATTGAGGGCTCATGGAGGACAGGATCACTGTCTTCTCTCTTTGTAACTGTCCTGTTACCTGGGAAGAGAAGGAAGATTGAGACTAAGGAAAACAATAGCTTTGTAAGTGAAGCTATATCTTTTTCTAGAGATAACTCCTTTCTCATTTCAATGCCCTATTTAAGGCTTGACCATGAATCTTTTGTGAAAGTGAGTTTAGAATAATAAGTAAGGAAGGGTGGAAAATAAAAATCAAATGAAGGAAATTTTCTGAAAGGTATGAGTCAGTTTCATGGAACTTAGCAGATACTTGGGCAGAAAGTTCATGGAAATTTTCCATTACCTTTTAGTTCCATGTTTCCACAAACTTTGAAGCCCCCCTCATACGTAGGTGGAGGGTCAGAGAAAAAGAGGAAGACCCCCAGTGAGATGGATTGGGAAAATGGCAGCATTAATGGGTTCAAGCATGGCAAAAATTATGCGGTTGGCCCAGGACCGGGCAGTGTTTTGTTCTGTTGTACATAGGGTCGCTATGAGTCAGGACCGACTCAATGGCACCTAACAACAACAACAACAACAACATATGTAAGTGGAGTGAAGCGTTGTCCATTGCCTGATACAAAAGATATTTGATGAATACTTGTTGACTGAATATTTTCTAGACTAGCTCCAAAGTGTCTTCTGTCTTCATTTCTTACAGATTTGGAAGAGGCGAGATAATGATGAAACCAACCAACAGGGGGCTTGAAGGCTGAGTCTAGGTGTTTGCTCTGGGGTGTTTTTAAATAAGAGTCCAGATGTTGCCGATGGTCTGGGAGCCCGAGAGCTATGGACTTTGACTCACATCAGAACATTAGAGGGCCCACTCTCCTGGGAGGCTCTGTGCGGTCACCGTCAATGAATTGTAGACGTTGCTCTCCCCACTTCCCTGTGTAGCTTCAGCAGGCCGGATCTTTTACAAGTGTATGTAATTTATTTCTGAGTAGCTGGGAGCGAAGAAGGACGGGCTCATTTCTTCTCAGGATCTAGTTTCAGGAGTCAAAGAATACGAACTTGAAGCCAGCAACATCTTTTTCCCAGACAGATGATTTTCCTGTGGTTCCCTTCATTTCTTGATCTTTTTTGGAATGCAGTAAATATTTTCCTGTTTTTAAACCAGACTCTTTATTTTATTCTTTTTCCCTTAGGCAACCTAAGGTTAGCGGTTGTTTTGTTTTTAATATTTTAATTTTAGAGTCAATAAACACAGAATGGTTTAAAATTAAGAAAGGTGTGCGACGAGGTTGTATTCTTTCACTATACTTATTCAAGCTGTATGCTGAGCAAATAATCCGAGAAGCTGGGTTATATGAAGAAAAACGTGGCATCAGGATTGGAGGAAGACTCATTAACAACCTGTGATATGCAGATG